GGGGTGTTTGTCCCATTGGGTATAATCCTGGTCTGTGAGGGGACCCCAAACTTCACTGCCGTATAGGGCAATGGGTTGGATTACACTTTCAAATATTTGGAGCCAGATTCTTGTTGGTGGGTTGATGTTGAAGAGCCTCCTTCTTATTGCGTAGAAAGCCCTGAGTGCCTTCTCTCTCTGTCCCGGGTCAGGGCCGAGGGGAGCGTGCGTACGATATCTACTCACGGCTGCTGAGAGAGAGGATCATCTGCGTGATGGGGCCGGTCAGTCAGTCTCCTCCCTGTGTTTGTCTGTGACTCTCTCTCTGTCTGTCTGTCCCTCTGCGATATGCTCTCTGCCTCAATGCCCACCTCACTTTATAACCCCAGAGCTATTATTATTGTCATATCTTCTCAGTTTATGACCATGTGACTGTATTATATTGCCTCTGCTGCTCTCTTCTCTCTCGCTGTTGTCTTATTCTATTGATTTGTCCAGTCTGTCACTGAGCCTGTCTGTTAATCCCTCCTACTCTTAGCACTCTGTGAATGCCTCCTCTCTCCTCACATCTCATCCTGCGCCTCTCTCTCCCTCCTCCCTCAGATCGATGACTCTGTGGCCAGCCTGGTGATCGCTCAGCTGCTGTTCCTCCAGTCAGAAGGCAACAACAAGCCCATCCACATGTACATCAACAGTCCTGGTGAGCGGCCGAGCTTGTCGAGAGTGTGTGTGTCCTGGAGAGGCAGGACAGATCAGAGGAAAGGAACAGTTTGTGGTGGAAGACGCATGGAGGGAGAGAGAGGAGCTGCTGTATTTGGGTGCCAGTGTGGTTCATTGTGTTCTACTGTTTCCATTGATACAGCCTGTAACTGTACTGCATTCTCCTGCCTCCAGGGGGCGTGGTTACAGCCGGGCTGGCCATCTACGACACCATGCAGTACATCCTGAACCCCATCTCCACCTGGTGTGTGGGCCAGGCCGCCAGCATGGGCTCCCTGCTCCTGGCAGCAGGAACCAGCGGCATGAGGCACTCGCTGCCCAATGCCAGGATCATGGTGCACCAGCCATCGGGGGGCGCCAGGGTGAGAGCAGGCAGATGGCGGAGAGAGAAGGCAGTGTGCTGTGCTGCTATATTGAGTTGAAATGTGTGTTGTACGGTGTGTGTGTGCTGTACGGTGTGTGTGGTCTGAGCAGTGTGTGTGTGTGTGTGTGTGTGTGTGTGTGTGCGCTGCGATGTTGAGCTGAAATGTGTTGTCCCTCACTATCCATGCAGGGTCAGGCCACAGACATCGCCATCCAGGCAGAGGAGATCCTGAAGCTGAAGAGACAGATTAACACCATCTACAGCAAACACACAGGCCAGGCTCTGGACATCATAGGTATCTGCACAGGGAGAGGGAGGGAGAGGGACAGGGACAGAGGGAGGGAGGGAGAGGGAGGGACAGGGACAGAGGGAGGGGTGTCGGCTTATGTGCAAAGAGGGTGAAAGGGGGAGAGTGTGTGTTCAGCGGTGTTTCACTGTCCTCTCTCTCCCTCACACAGAGAGTGTGATGGAGCGGGACAGGTACATGAGTCCCATAGAGGCCCAGGATTTCGGCATCATCGACAGGGTCCTGGTGCACCCCCCCCAGGCCGGGGAGGACGAGCCTGCAGTGCTGCAGAAGGAGCCCACCCCGAGCAGTGCCCCCTGCACCCCAACCGAGCCCTCCACCAACCCTCAGCCCCCCCAGGGGACCCCCGCCTCGTCTGCCAAGCCTGAGCCCTGACGCCCTGCTGCCCGGCTCCCGCAGTCGCACTGTCAGAGCCGCCCTGCGGGGGGCGCTCTCACACTTAGGAGGCGGGCCTGTTCCCACCAGCACCTGCCGACTGTGCTGGCGGTGTGGCACAGAGCAGAGAGTCCCTCCAGTCTCTTCCTACACAGGCAGTGAGCCACTGTGGGCAAGACTGGCAGCACAGCACCCTGCAGCAGAACCCACCCGCTCCTCTATGGACCCGGACCCGCACCCGGACTCATTTTCCCTGTCCGCTGCTGTTGGACCCTGCTGTCAGTGTCTCCCACTGACCCCCACTGTTTGGTCACTTTTTTTAAATTAAAAATGTACCAAATCGTTTTTTGATGAAGACTGGTGAATATACTTTCTTACCTGCAGCACTGTAGTCAGTCTGTTCGATCTTCAATAAACTAGGTGTGACAGAACAGTTCAGCTGCAAGTCGTCTCTGTATGTGAGGGGGTGCGGGACCTGACCTGAGACCTGAGCAGCGCAGGCTGTGTGGACACCAGCCAACCACTTCTCATTGGTCCACAGGGAGGAACCTGGGGAGGTTCTTATTGGACAAGTCCGGTAAGCCTAGGAGGGGCTGTTCCTATTGGATACCTCCGTGCATTGACGGTTTATTCCGATTGGATGGCTGGAAAGACGGACAGGCACCCGCCAGCCAATCGACACGCGTGTCTGCCTTCCAGCCCCAACGCGTTTCGCCGTGGGTTCAGGTGAATGGAGAGCGGCTCCCAGGTGTGTCGGCAGCGGCTCATTATCTCGCACAGTGAAGGAGAAGTAATTGAAAAGCGGCGCAGCAGCCGGGTGCCCTGGCGCATCTCTCCAATTCGAAACTCTCTGCGTGTTGTTCAAGGCGGTGAGTTTGAGTTCAGAGAGCAGCGGGCGGTAATCAGTGTTCTTGCGAAAAGAAAATCGCCCTGAACGACACTAGGCGTGTTTGAAGTTTAGTGAATAGGAGCAGTTACGTTCCAGGTGCAGGTTTGCCCAGCTCGGGAAGGGTTTTCCAGTAGCTGGGAGAGCGAGATTGTGTCCCAGGTGTAGAGGCGTGTCTCTGCCAGGAAGCCCGTGCAGCATGAGAGTCCAGGCTGCAAGCGCTCCGTCTTGTCTGTTTCAAATGATTTCTTTTCCCCTTGTTTCTTTGCACTGAGCCGTCCTCACGCGGAGTCCGGCTGCGCTGATTCCCGTGGTAGTTTATTTCCACGCTTTTAGTGATCTTCTCCTCGAGACGAATTTTCTAATAACCCCCCTCCTCCGTTCAGTTACCCCCAGAAAACACGTCCCGGAGTCTCGCTGAAGCCGAACCCCGGGGATAATCTGTGCTCGACCCGGGCGGGACAGGAGAGAAACTCCGAACAGCGAAGAATTGTCTGGATGTCAGTGGCACCTGGGCGTGTGGGTTTGTTCTCAGTCGTAAAAGGTCAGCTCGCAGTGACCTTTATTACTGCTCTGGTATTAGGAGTCCCTGTCGCTAGTGCATCACCGTGTGACCTCAGCCGCCGCGTTAGCGGATATTGCACTTGAACTGAGGATACTGCAGGGAAGATGGCGGAGAAACTGTGGCAGACGGACTCGGACACCAGCCTGCAGGACTCTCCAGGTAACAGCCTGGCCCGCTTCTCCGCCGAGAGTGTCCACCGCTGTCTCTCACCCCCTGTGTCCCCTCTCTCACTCCAGCCCTCCGGCACACCTTCCGCATCTCGCCTCCCCGCACCCCGCCGAGGGGCGACGGACTCCACAGCGCCCCCGCCTGGACACAGCGAGACCAGCAGCACCTGGAGCTCTTCATCAACGTCAGTGCAGGGCTTGGTCCTGGTGTGACTCTGCGGGGTCTCAGTTTGGCTAGATCAGTGTTTCTCCCCCCCGACCTGGGTCTTTTACAGCCTTCACAATAATTCTTTACACTTATATAGCACTTTTCTGGACACTCCACTCAAAGCGCCTTACAGCTAATGGGGACTCCCTCCACTACCAGTACACTCAGCTACAGTATCAGTGGGGAGGAGAACAGAGTGATGAAGCCAGTTCAGAGATGGGGATTATTAGGAGGCCATGATTGGTAAAGACCGGGCGTAAATTTGGCCAGGGCATCAGGGAAACACCCCTACTCTTTTTGAGAAACACCCTGGGATTTTTAATGACCACAGAGAGTCAGGACCTCAATTTTATGTCTCATTCGGGGGACGGTGCCCTTTTAAATTATAGTGTCCCTGTCATTATAGGGGGGCATTAGGACCCACGTAGACCACAATCTTGTTTTTTTCCCAGGAGGTCTCCCATCCAGGGCATGGCCAGGCTTACAGCTGCTGAGCTCCAGTTGAGTTGCAGGGTGATATGGCTGCTGGCTGTAATTCTTAATTGCAGGCTGACTGACCTTAATGTCCTGCTGGGGGCAGACATGTAGAGTTGCTGTTGATGCTGGGGGACGGGGGGGTGAGAGACCTCTCCCCTGCGCCCCAGGAGTCACTCCAGCAGGGAGAGCTCTCTGTGGGCGCTGCGGAGCTGGGAATTGGGGTGCGCGGGCAGCATGGGGGGGTCTGGCGCCCTGAGGTTTTTTCCCCGGATCTGGTCTGAGCACAGAGGCAAGTGAGGTGAGGAAATCACATCAGACACCCTGGGGTGACAGGGCAGACACGGGGTCCCCCAGGTCCTGAGTGTGGAACCCCACTCCGCTGCTGTCGTTCTCCAAAACTCTCGGCGTCTGCAAGCTGCTGTCCTGTGTCCGGCAGGAGGCAGCGGCACTGGGGCTGCCCTCAGTGAGCACGGAGGATGCTGGGAGAGGGCGCCCCCCTGTGGCCGCGCTGCTGAACTGCGCCCGGTCGCTCATTGCGCTGCACCTGCAGAACCGGGAGAGACTGAGGGAAGCCGAGAGGGAGCGCGGAGAGAGTGGCCAACTGAGGGCCAGGCTGCACACTCTGAAGGTGAGCACGGGTCCGAGTGAGGCCGGCGGCAAGGAGAGGAACCGCTCCAACGCCACTCGGGCCCCTCCTCTGCCCCCCCCCCCAGGAGAAGCTGGAGCAGAGAGAGCTCCACCTGGCGGCCTTGCAGGACAGAGTGAGGAGCCTGCAGGAGCAGAATGCCGCCCTGCAGCGCTCCCTGCGGAGCGACAGAGAGCAGGTGAGTGAGCCGAGGGTCCTGCGGAGGCGCAGGAGCGACCGAACGGGGCGCTCATGAGGTCTCCCTCCCCCACCCCGCCGCGCAGACCGTGGGGCTGCAGTACCGCTGCTCCCAGCAGGCGGCCGAGCTCAGGGCCAGCGAGCAGAGGGCCGCCCGGCTGAAGGACCGGCTGGCCCAGCTGGTGGACAAGCCGCGGGACCGCAGGGCCGGTGAGGACGCTCGGGGCGACCGGCGCTCGGAGAACCGGGCAGGCGGCCGTCCTCTCCCTGACTCCCCGCCTCTCCTGTCCAGGCATAGAGATCCTGAACCTCCTGCCCCGGCCGGACGGGAAGAGGGCCCCGGGCCGCGTGGCGAGGGGCGACGGCCGGTGAGTGTCCTGGGCCGGGGGGCTCAGCACTGGGTAAGGTTCGGCACCGCTGGGGTGGGGAGAGCTTGTGGGAAACCAGGCTGCTGCTGGAAGTGCTGCTGGTGCACCAGTAGGTAGTGCTCTTCCCTCTAGGCCTGTTATCCTGTGTGCTCTGTCATCTAGCTGGGGAGGGGGGTCATGCCGTGTGCTGTGTCACTCGTCCATTAGGGGGTGTGTCCAGTCATGCCCTGTGATGTCACTTGTCCGGGGGGGTGGGGTCATGCCGTGTGCTGTGTCACTCGTCCATTAGGGGGTGTGTCCAGTCATGCCCTGTGATGTCACTTGTCCGGGGGGGTGGGGTCATGCCGTGTGCTGTGTCACTCGTCCATTAGGGGGTGTGTCCAGTCATGCCCTGTGATGTCACTTGTCCGGGGGGGTGGGGTCATGCCGTGTGCTGTGTCACTCGTCCATTAGGGGGTGTGTCCAGTCATGCCCTGTGATGTCACTTGTCCAGCAGGGGCGGGGAGGAGGTGCTGCGTCAGCTGCTGGAGAGGCGGGAAGCAGAGCTGCAGGAGGCGGAGTCTCGCCGTCAGAGCCTCTCCTCTCTGCTGCACCTGCTTAGCCATGACATGGCCACTGCGCTGGGGGACGGGGTGAGCGAGGGGGGAGGGGGTGCAGCGGGTGGGTTAGGGAGTGAGGAGGGGGCAGGGTGAGGGAGGGAGGAGGGCACGGGGACACACCCCCATCTTTGACCCCAATGCTCAGCCTGTCCGTCTCCCAGGCTGTCCTTGACTGCGCAGAGGCAGAGGGGGCGGCGCCGTGCTGGGAGCAGCTGAGCCAATCGGAAGCGGCGCTGGGAGATCATGTGACAGGGGGCGTGGTGCAGGTGTGGAGCTGCCTGAAGGGGAGGCTGGAGGAGCTGTCTGTCCACGGTAACGGCCCGCACAGGGTCCCGTCACATCGCGTGGCATCAGACAGCATGCTCCAAGTCCATCTGTCTGTCCGCAGGTCCCTCCTCGGCTGCTGTGGGGACAGACCAGGAGAAGCAGCTGGCTCAGCTGGAGGCAGAGCTGGAGCAAAGTCACCAGCTGATCCGGCTGCAGCAACAGCTGCTACAGGTTGGCCGCTGACTGTGCTGTTCGTGCCCTTCGCAGTTGTGTTGTCTGCAGGCCGTCTCTTACTCTGCGTGCTCTCGTTCCCGCCCAGGACAGCGTGTCCCCTGCGCTCCCGCCCTCTCTCACGGACTCCTATTTCCTGGAGGAGTGGGAGCGGCTCCAGGCCGGGTGGGCGGAGCTGGATTCTCAGAGGCATAGGTTTCAGAGGGAGAGGCGGAGCTTCACTGAGGCTGCCATCCGATTGGGCCATGAGGTAAGGGGGGGAGGAGCATCATGGGGGAGGCGGCACCTGTCTCAGCACTCGGTCATGTTGTCTCTGTTGTCAAACATCTCTCTGCTGATCCCTACTGTCCTCGTGCTGTGTCCGTCTTCATACCCGTCTCTCACCTGAATCGACTGTCCTCATGCTGTCCCTATCCCTGTCTTTGCAGCGGCGTCAGTTTGAACAGCAGAGGGCGTCTCTCGTGCAGCAGCAGTTCCTCAGCCTGTCGCCCCTCCTAGACCCACAGGAGCCTCTCGCCAGCAGGAAAGAGCCCAGCCCACTCAGTGAGTGTCTGCCTCTGTGGGGCTCGGTGTGCGACTGTGGGCCCCTGCCTCCTCTGTGGGGCTCAGGGTGCGACTGTGGGCTCGGGGTGCGACTCTCTCTTCCAGGTCTCAGTCAAGTCACCCCCTCTCATTCCCGGCTGACGGTTGTCTCCACTCCGGGGTCAGGGGTCAGGGTGTGGGCCGGCCAGGGTGAGGTGGGCACCCCCAGCACGCCCGAGCTGTACCGCACTTTGAGGCTGCCTCTCCCACGCAGGTCAGCGCAACACGGGTCACGGCGCTGACTGGTCCGGCCCTGCGGCTGGCCTGCGCCCTCACTCTCTCTCCACACGCAGGGCCAGCATGAGGAGCCCTGCAGTGGCCGAGCACTGGACCTGGGCAGGGCCCCGAGGGTCGTACCTGCACTCGGAGCTGGACGTGTCCTTCTAGATGGAGAGGTGGATGCAGAGTGACCACCTCGCCCAGCCCAGTCCCAGCTGGCCAGAGGAATGGGAATACTACCTTATTGTTTTTGTGTTTTAATACTTTTAAAAATCGAATAAAGAGTTGACCTTTAGCCTCTGGTGGCACTGACACCTTTGTCCTTAGCAGCTCTGTGTTGCAGTGTTCCTGCGTTCCAGCAGGGGGCAGTATGACAGCTCAGACCTGTTCTCCAGTATCTCTACTTGTTCCCCTCTGACCTCCCATGGCCTGCTGTGTATAAAGTCAGTAATATATAGGATTAAATTTATAGCCTTGTTCATACCTTAAGACCATATATGCTATTCACTACAGCTCTGTACTGTCACACTACACTGTTCTATACAGATCCATGTGGATATGGATTGTAACAGGACTGTTCTACTG